AAATGTTCAGAAATAAAATCATCGAAATATAATAAAGCAAATCATATATCGAAATCATAAATAAAGCATCACTGACAATAATTAGTCAGAATAAAGCATCACTGACAATAATTAGTCAGAATAAAGCAGCACTGACAATAATTAGTCAGAATAAAGCATCACTGACAATAATTAGTCAGAATAAAGCATCACTGACAATAATTAGTCAGAATAAAGCAGCACTGACAATAATTAGTCAGAATAAAGCATCACTGGTAATAATTAGTCAGAATAAAGCATCACTGATAATAATTAGTCAGAATAAAGCATCACTGATAATAATTAGTCAGAATAAAGCAGCACTGACAATAATTAGTCAGAATAAAGCATCACTGACAATAATTAGTCAGAATAAAGCAGCACTGACAATAATTAGTCAGAATAAAGCATCACTGGTAATAATTAGTCAGAATAAAGCATCATGATAATAATTAGTCAGAATAAAGCATCACTGACAATAATTAGTCAGAATAAAGCATCACTGATAATAATTAGTCAGAATAAAGCAGCACTGACAATAATTAGTCAGAATAAAGCATCACTGGTAATAATTAGTCAGAATAAAGCATCACTGATAATAATTAGTCAGATATAAGCATCACTGATAATAATTAGTCAGAATAAAGCAGCACTGACAATAATTAGTCAGAATAAAGCATCACTGACAATAATTAGTCAGAATAAAGCAGCACTGACAATAATTAGTCAGAATAAAGCATCACTGGTAATAATTAGTCAGAATAAAGCATCACTGATAATAATTAGTCAGAATAAAGCATCACTGACAATAATTAGTCAGAATAAAGCATCACTGATAATAATTAGTCAGAATAAAGCATCACTGACAATAATTAGTCAGAATAAAGCATCACTGACAATAATTAGTCAGAATAAAGCATCACTGACAATAATTAGTCAGAATAAAGCCTCACTGATAATAATTAGTCAGAATAAAGCATCACTGACAATAATTAGTCAGAATAAAGCATCACTGACAATAATTAGTCAGAATAAAGCATCACTGACAATAATTAGTCAGAATAAACTTCCTCCTGGTAATAATTAGACACAAATAAATTTATCCTGATTATAATTAGACAAATAAAGTTCTTCTGACAACAATTAGACAGAAGTAACGTTCACTTGGTAATAGACAGAAATAAAGTTCTCCAAGTAAGAATTAGACAGAAATAACTTCTGGTAATAAGTGTTTTCCATTTTCTGTAAAAAAAGAAAAAAGTCTTGTAAGCAGTCCATAAACTTATTTAAGTTGACATAATTGGAATTAAATTCCTATGCAATCTGGATGCAAATCCCATTACATAAGGTACCCAACTCTCACAAACAATTAATGAACACTCTTGAATGTCTTCTCGTTTACATTTTTTGTACTCTGTTGTAGATTATAAATTCAAACCCGCCAAAAGTCGTGAGAAATTAAAAAGCTCTTCGAGATTAATCTCAATAAAGAAGAACGTGCTGTTGTGTTGCGTCTGTCTTCCGGTGGTCGAGGCAGGAAAATAATTTTGTGTTAAAATGCGTTTTAACGTTTTTGACAAATCTCGTGTTTGATGAGATTTCTAATGCCGCAAAGAAAGACCTCGAAAGCACCTTGTGGTAAGGAGGGAAACAGTGTCTGATCCCATGTGAGAGGAAGGCAGCGTTTGAGCACACGTGGAAGGAAGGCATAGTGTTAGATCCCACATGGGAGGAAGCAGAGTCGAATCCCATGTGGGAGAGAGCAAAGTGTCTGAACCCCCCACGATGGCTCACAGCTATGAGAAATATAAATTTTCCTAGATTTTCTCTGATTACCACATAATTCATGTTAATACATACGAACTAGTGCATGAATTAGTTGGTGTATATACTAGCGCTTGTATGTGTAATGATACTTGTGTGTATGTGAGCTAAGACCTGTATGTGCACTAGTACATGTGATTACACATTTACATGTATCATTCTCCTACAAGTATATCAGCTTATACTCGTACCTCTTAAGCTTGCAGGTACCTGCTGCTTGTAACTGGTATTTGTACCGGGACATTGAGCCGGTACTCCTTGTACCATTCTGTTTATAAACAAAGGAATGGGATTTTGAAAGATGTAAACAGTGAGATTTGACAGGTCTTACGACGCGGAGAGTTAAGACAGTTCTATGGAACATTTTGAAATCCGATCTGTGCAACCCACCGGCTGATCCGATCTGTTCCATCCACTCACTGAACCGAACTATGCAGCCACCCGCCTCCATCTGTGATACACGTAGCACAGCAACACTACAAGAGGCGTTTGACTCAGGCCGTCACTTACCTGCCCTGAAGTAGGATTGAAGGCTCCTGGTGGATGCTCCACATGGGATCAATTTCAATTGTCATTTCACTTCCTACGAGCAAGTAATTACTGTTTACTGTAATTCCATTTTCTTGATAGAAAATTAATTTTATTGATTGAAACTGGTTTTTTATTTATTGAAAATATTCTTTATTATTTTGAAAAAAATTATTTGTGTACAATGCGTTAGTATTGTAGTTATGTTCACGAATTAAGAAATCGCTTCTTTAGTTAATTAAATTCATGTATCGTATTCAATTTTTTTTTTACTCTAGGAAATACGACTTAGCAAGGCGGCCGCTGCATTAGAGGCACGGATATTATTGCAGTCAGACACGGCGTTCACGTGCTTGCTCGTGTGTCCTGGAACAAAAAAATCCTGCTGAATTAACTACAGCGTTTCGCAAAATGCTAACTGAGATTAGATGCAAATTTTGTTGAAAAATTAAGTTAATTATAAAATCCTGTGTCACAATGTGGCCATGGGATTATTTTATTTTTATCGAGGGGGTGGTGTGGGCTTTTTTTTCGGGAGACGAGATACAGTTATGGAAGAAGGAAATAGAGACGAGCAGAGGAGGAGGGGAAATCGAGTGATAAGAGTAAAAGGGAAGAGGGGAGATAAAAGAGCGGAAAGCTAGTGTGTGAAAGTGGAGAGACAGAGAAACGGGAATAGAGGGGAGAAAAAAAGAGGACCAAAAATAGAGAAAGGGAGAGAGAGAAAGGGAAGTGAAGAGAGCACTTTATACCGACTAGGGCGGGCTGGGGTTACCCCCCCAATTACCAATGTTTGGTTACACCAATTTCACCGTCAGGTCTTTCACCGTCAGGTCTTTCACCGTCAGGTCTTTCACCGTCAGGTCTTTCACCGTCAGGTCTTTCACCGTCAGGTCTTTCACCGTCTGCCGGCGGCGCCTCGCCTGCCAGGGGCAGCCTGCCATTCACTTCGTGTTTAACTGTTTGCCGTTGTTAACATCAAATACCAAGATGTTATTACCAATTAACATCCGAATACAATTTTTGTTTATGTATTCAATTAATTAGCATACAGATTGTATTTAGTGAATTTTTTTATGCACGATAAATATTAGCGTGATGATTTTTTATCTGGTTCAGAGTTTAGGGTGTATGGTCGTGGTGTCAGGGTGTGTGGTTGTTGTGTCAGGGTGTGTGGTTGTTGTGTTAGGGTGTATGGTCGTGGTGTCAGGGTGTGTGGTTGTTGTGTCAGGGTGTGTGGTTGTTGTGTTAGGGTGTGTGGTCGTGGTGTCAGGGTGTATGGTCGTGGTGTCAGGGTGTGTGGTTGTTGTGTTAGGGTGTGTGGTTGTGGTGTCAGGGTGTGTGGTTGTGGTGTCAGGGTGTGTGGTTGTGGTGTCAGGGTGTGTGGTTGTGGTGTCAGGGTGTGTGGTCGTGGCGCCAGGGTGTAAGGTCGAGCCGCCAGGGTGTAAGGTCGTGGTGACCCAGAAGTCTGGATTGTGTTCCAGCTCCTGGACCCCGGCACACACTGCAAAGAGTCCGGTGCTGCTCAATGGAACTCACTCGTAACCGGACATCCGGTGTTCTCTTCTCCGAATTCTAATTAACGAACGCTTGATCACTTAATGATCATTGATAATCTGAACACTTAAATCTTTATTTCACTTCATAAACTTTAACACAAGTTGTCCGCCCTTCACAGATTCCTGGTTCATTAGTTTCCGTGTTCACGTATTACCACTCGTTCCGTGTTCACAGGATTAAGCACGACCACAGACTTGATATACGGAGTTTGAGAAACCTAGACACACCCTTTTGTAAATAAAGTCATCTAAAAAAATCACCTCCCGGAATATATCGTAATATTAGAGTTCGACAACTTCGATACTTTCTGCACAGCAAGAGTCCAGCTATCAGGCAAGAGTCCAGCCATCAGGCCAGCGCGGGAGACTTGAGTCCCACTTGACGGCGGCCAGCTGAGCTCACCAGCTGAAGCCACGAGGCTCGTCCCAGTGAACTCAATAACGATTCCGTTTTGAATTAGCGTTACTGTGCCCACTGGAGTCAGCCAGCCATCACTTGTCGCTGTGTTGACGTGTCACATGGTCTATATGTGTGTGTTCTGAATCAGCCGCGCGCACTTTGGAAGGTTTTTGTGGTAGTTCGCAAAGGCCGTATGCCTCAGCCACTATAACAACCCACTCTGCATTTAATTGTCACTGAGGAAATCGTAATTTTTTTTAAGGGGAAACGCATTATTCTGTATTTTTGGGACTTGCTAAAGACTTTATTGTTTTGATAGTGATTCACCATAATTCATGTCCCTGATTGTTCTTAATTACCAGTTCGACATTTGTTGTTTGTTGACATATGCGTATAATATCTGGCAGTAAATCAGGTCTGTACCGGCTAGTAATTTCATCACACAAAAGTATGTTAAGTAAAAATTTGAATTCTGGGAAAACCTCCATATAATTGTGTTTTCCTTAACACTAATCGACAAATCACAGAAATTGTTTTTCAGTTTAGTAAATGAAAAACATCCACGCTGCTGAGCTTTGCCCGATGGCTGCACACACACACACACACACACACACACGCACACACACGCACGCTGCCAAGCAACGACCCGGAAACCTTCCCCCGCCACCTACGGAGCCACGTCCAGTGCGACCGACCAAGACCGCGGGTCGGGACTTACTGACGCCGCGAGTAACTACCACCCTAGTTGTGACGCTCTCCGCTCAACACCACCTCTCATCCTCCTCGCCTCCTCCAGAGGGCATTACCACCTCCTCCTCCTCCTCCTCCTCCTCCTTCAGAGGGCCCCACAATCTCCTCCTGCTCCAGAGGGCACTAGCACCACCACCTACTCCAGAGGGCACTACCACCTACTACTCCAGAGGGCACCACCACTAGAGGGCACCACCACTACTGCAAGACGGCAGGATCTCACTCATTCCTTCATGTTGTAGGCTTTACGGCTTTGTATAGTGATGTGTGCTGGCGGTGGTGGGGACCCTCCCGGGGCGTTGGTGGCACGCTTCCTGCCCGTCTTGGTGCCCTTACCTAGTTGTGCTTGCGGGGGTTCAGCTCTGGCTCTTTGGTCCCGCCTCTCAACTGTCAATAAACTAATGTACAGGTTCCTGAGCCTACTGGGATCTCTCATATCTACACTTGAAGCTGTGTATGGACTCAGCCTCAACCACATCACTTCCTAATGCATTCCATTTGTCTACTACTCTGACATTGAAAAAAGTTCTTTCTAACGTTTCTATGGCTCATTTGGGTACTCAGTTTCCACCTGTGTCCCCTAGTGCGTGTGCCCCTTGTGTTAAATATCCTGTCTTTATCTACCCTAACAATTCCACTGAGAATCTTGTATGTGGTGATCATGTCGCCTCTAACTCTTCGGTCTCCCAGCGACGTGAGGTTTAATTCCCGTAGTCCCTCCTCGTTGCTCATACCCCTCAGTTCAGGTACTAGTCTGGTGGAAAACCTTTGAACCTTTTCCAGTTTAGTCTTATTCTTGACTAGATATGGATTCCATGCTGGAGCCGCATACTCCAGGACTGGTCTGACATATGTGGTATATAATGTTCTGAAAGATTCCTCACACAAGTTTCTTAAGGCCGTTGTGTGTGTGTGTGTCTCTCTCTCTCTCTCTCTCTCTCTCTCTCTCTCTCTCTCTCTCTCTCTCTCTCTCTCTCTCTCTCTCTCTCTCTCTCTCTCTCTCTCTGCCCCCAAGCGGAAAGGTTCTATTTCATTGCTTCACTCATTAAATTTCCGCCCTGACGCCCACTAGATATATATTTTAAATTCTCTGGAACAACACACATCAACCATATCTTCTCTTCAGTTTTGTGTTTTATATATATAACAAATATATATATATGTATATATATTATATATATATATATATATATATATATATATATATATATATATATATATATATATATATATATTCATCCCATCAATTTCCGTTAACAGAGCTAACCAAACCGTTACTTTCGTATTACCATTACTTGAAAACTGTTAGTGTACCGTTAACAGTGCTCGTCCAGCCGAGAGCATCATCGGACTCGTTCTTTCGAATTGCTACTTCGTTAAAAAAAAAGCAACTGTTTCACCTATTCAGAATCGTACAAACCTAAGCGATCCACTTAGCCTCTCGTGGCCGATAAACGTCCATACTAAGGTGGTCTCGACGCTTACTATAACGTCGCATTTGTAACGGATTGGTCGGTTTTGTTGCAAATATGAGGCATTAGGCGGAGAGAACGGGCAGATATGAGGCATTAGGCGGAGAGAACGGGCAGATATGAGGCATTAGGCGGAGAGAACGGGCAAATATGAGGCATTAGGCGGAGAGAACGGGCAAATATGAGGCATTAGGCGGAGAGAATGGGCAAATATGAGGCATTAGGCGGAGAGAACGGGCAGATATGAGGCATTAGGCGGAGAGAACGGGCAGATATGAGGCATTAGGCGAAGTGAACGGGCAGATATGAGGCATTAGGCGGAGAGAACGGGCAGATATGAGGCATTAGGCGGAGAGAACGGGCAGATATGAGGCATTAGGCGGAGAGAACGGGCAGATATGAGGCATTAGGCGAAGTGAACGGGCAGATATGAGGCATTAGGCGGAGAGAACGGGCAGATATGAGGCATTAGGCGGAGAGAACGGGCAAATATGAGGCATTAGGCGGAGAGAATGGGCAAATATGAGGCATTAGGCGGAGAGAACGGGCAGATATGAGGCATTAGGCGGAGAGAACGGGCAGATATGAGGCATTAGGCGAAGTGAACGGGCAGATATGAGGCATTAGGCGGAGAGAACGGGCAGATATGAGGCATTAGGCGGAGAGAACGGGCAGAGCCTCAAACACACGGACATATAATTGTCGGCTATTTTTTTTTTTTTTGGTCTGAAGATTATCTAGAGGGAGTGAGAAGGGGGAGGGAAGTTTATCTCCATGGTGTGCTTGTTAGTGCGTGAGGGAGGGAGAGAGGGAGGGAGGGATTAGAGAGAGTGAGGTAGAGAAGATTGGGATGAGGGGGGGGGGGGGAGGAATAATGTAGTTTTTACCTAAAAAATTTTGGTTGGACTGAATTTCAGTATTTTGGTACCTACAATTCCATCTATTGGTCGACAAAGGTAATGACTCCCTGCTATGTTTTTTTTTTTTCCCGCTTTGTCTTTTCTGCTTTCAAAACTGAAGATGGAGATATTATGTAATATGTGTTTCTTCATATCCTTGTGGTTTACCTGCATGGCTGCCATCCTCTCGTAAATTGCTGCCCAATTTAAACATTCTCTATTTTTCATTGATATCTCAGTATTTTAAACATCATGTCCGCTCTGTGGCTTTCGCCAGAGTAATGAGATTAAGCTCCCTTGATCTATTTCTCTATCTCAGCCCTCCAAATTCTGAGACTAATCTTGAAGCAAACATCAGCTCTTTTTGATGACTGTACAGGACTGATGTACAGGATGTACAGGACTAACTACAGGACTACAGGACTACAGGACTAACTGATGTACAGGACTAACACTTCCTAACCAGTTATAGCAACAAATATAACAAGTTGTAACAATTAAACGATGCTCTTTAACATCGTTTAATTTGTTGTGGTAGTAGCTCAATGATGTTACTATAGCACTGCTCAGATGTTTCGGCACTGTATCTTCTCTGTATTTATTATATTCTTCGTAAAGATGCGAGCAGAACTTGAAGGAGCATCTTGCTGCTCTTTGAACCTCTCTTGGCTCTTGGACATAATACATAAGAGAGTTTCTCTCTCTGTGAACCGATGGCTCCCAAATCAATTTATGAATGGTTAAAAATCAACCGTGTTTAGTATCTTTGTTCTCTCGATAAAATCTGCAGCAACTGTACCTTATGTTAATGTTCTTCTTAGACTTCTTTCTTGGTTTCTTTTATTGGTTGAGGGTTGAATATAACTGCCAGTACAATGTTCTGTTTCTACTGTAACATTTCATGTGATTAACTCCGCCAAACACACACCGAAACTACGACGTTGGTACAACGTTCGAACAAGTTTTAACACTTCCTAACCAGTTATAACAACCAATATAACAAGTTGTAACAACGTTTTAATTCGTCATAAACACGTTAAGCCAAGATTTAACAACTTTATTACAAGTTGTAACAAGCGGAAAATGAAAACAGTTTTGGTTTGTGTTTCCAGGGAATTATAAGTCCCTGTGTTTATCCTGTTTGCACCTGTTAGTTCTTCAAAGTTATTTATTCTAAGGATTAAATGGCATATTCCTTTACCATATCTACATAATTTCTTGTTGATAATCTGGTAACTCCTGTTGAACACTTCATCGCTTATGGCCTTGTAAATGTGGATCTCCTTCCTTGACTCTTTATCTCATTAGTTTTATTTGAGATACAGTCAACGTTTGTGTACGATTATTTTTGTTTACATCCTGTAGTTGCCAAATCAGTTGCACCTCTTGCCTCTCTTGGAAGTTGTTATTTAGGGTGGAGAAAAGGTAGAGATAGTGAATATAGTAGTAGTAAAAACAAAAATAATATATATATATATATATATATATATATATATATATATATATATATATATATATATATATATATATATATATATATATATATATATATGACAGTGTCAGACCACGGAGGAAAATTGAAACAGGAATTTCCTTAAGTACTTTCGTATATTAATACATCTTCAGAAGGAGTTAATATACTTGTACTATTAATGTACTTTCATATTAATATACGAAATTACTTAAGGAAATTCCTGTTTCAATTTTCCTCCATGGTCTGACACTGTCACATTTTTAATCACGTGTATTATGTGTATTTCGTGATATACACACATATATATACTTTCGTATATTAAATATCTTATATATATATATATATATATATATATATATATATATATATATATATATATATATATATATATATATATATGTGTATATCACGAAAATAAACACGTGATTAAGAATGTGACAATGTCAGACCACGAAGGAAAAATATTTCCTTAAGTATATATATATCAGAAGGTCCTTCCTCCAGATATATATATATATATATATATATATAATTATGACACGTGTTCTGAACATCCATGTTAGCACTGAGCAGTACAAAGAGGAAAGTGCTATTCGTACTCTTCAAACTGATAGAACACGTACTAAAAAAAAAAATGCTTCCTTCGCGAAGTAGATATTCTAATCAGCAAATAGACTTTACGAACTCAAGGGACTCAGTTCATTGTTTTTTTGTTCAAGTTGATATTTTCCACGGGACACGCAAGAATACCTCATACACTTGTAGAATGGGCTGCGTTGGAGCAGATTATGACAGGTTGAGTTACATTTGGCACTATGTTTACTGCCAGTGCCAGGAGTCACGTGACACTTTGTTGACAAGTGTGTGCCAAAGTCATACAGGAAGAGTGTGTGTATTAACCAATACACAATACTCTGAAGCAGCTTTAAAAGGGGTAAGACTAAAAGTTAAGACTTAGTGCAACATTTAATTCAATGTGTAAAATATATATATATATATATATATATATATATATATATATATATATATATATATATATATATATATATATATATATATATATATATATATATATATATATATATATATATATATATATATATATATATATTTATATATATATGCGAACAAGCCTGAAC